AGGATCCAAAACTCTGACAGAGGCTCAGCCGATCCTTAAGAGAAGGAAAGGGAAGATGTGAAACCTCCAGAATGTGTTGAGGAAGGCCAGATTTTAGATAGGTGGCCTCTCAGAGAGAAGCAGCCTCACTGCCTCGAGGCATAGTTATTGTCCCGTCTTCCTCCAACAATTCTTTTACAATGCTTGTAGCTGCTTGTGTTCGCTAGGAGCAAACACACTCAGTGTTATGCAGCGTACATCCTGACCGGATGGCATTCTTTCTCATGGCCACTAGGGGGCGACTCCTCTGGTTGCATAGAAGTCTATGAGAAAATGACTCTACTTCTCTCTTGATTTATTACCTCAGTAAACATTGTAAACATGAGTTTATGGTCTCAATCTCTAGTTTCAAGTCTTCTTCAATACAGCATGATGTTCATTTAGTACATTATGGTCCATTTAGAGTCACACAGACCATAAAGCAGGGTATGCTTTAGGGCGGGGCTACTGTGATTGACAGGTCTCTACCACGGTGTTGTCCGTGTTTTCGTGTTACAAATTTAACCCTTTCACAGTGTGCTTTCACTTCATGAATTGTAACGTTTGGTTGCCTAAAAATTCAGCATTCAATACTTAGCTCAACGCTCTTGGGTCACTTTTGGTTGCAAAAAGAAACACCATTACAACGGCAAAAAAACAAGATGGCGACGGCCAAAATGTCTAACTTGAGTCTTTCAAACCGTAGTCCACAAACCAATGGGTGACGTCACGGTGACTACGTCCAATTGTTATATACAGTCTATGGTCATGTAATGAAAAATCCAAACCAATTACCAGGGAAGGCACTGTGCATGCTGGGAGGTCACTGTGAAAGTCAGGGCTGCTAAAACGTGGATGTTAATACAGAGAATGTGTGGGACTGGAGAAGCAGTGCGGGGCAGATGATCCTCGAAGGCCATGCAAATGAGTTGGATCCTCTTTCCCTGGAAAGCTCCATCACTGCTTTCAAGATATCTCAGACGCTCTCCAAACCTGAGGCACTTGTTGTGTAGAGACCAGCTGCCACACCGAGTCCTTATATCTTTGGATTTAATGTGGTTTGAAGGAGAGTTCAAATAATGTGGGCTTCATCAGGCAGTTGATGTCATGATAATTAATACTATTGTGCTAAATGAGACAGTAAGATTTTGTTCTTTTTAAAGGGAGAGTTAACTCCTTTTATGAACTGTTTCCACAAACTAATCTTAAACAGCATTATTTGGTTGAGCAGTTTGAGTTTTTATAAGTTTAACAGACCTAAAGGAACATTCTGGTATTTTTCAACCAGGATCTTATTTTTTTGTGACCTTTCTGATTAATGGATTGCACTTGTCAACTCTGTTATAAAGTAATGGGAAAAATAACCGCAGCAAAATAACGTTGTTTGAGTATTTTTGGACAAGACAATAGAGAGATGACAGGAAATTGAGGAAAAAGGTGCAAAAATGGTCCGAAGCCAGACTCGAACCCGGGAACGTTTCAGTTCATGATCAGAAGCTGCAGGGTTTCCCCAACAAAACAATGTTCACTGAGGCAAGCAGCACAAGTCAAACAACTTTAGTTTACATACATTATTTTGTAAGGTCAGAGGTCAGGCCCAGAGCCTCTCCGAGGTTTCTTAAACTTTTGTGTCACCTTGAGATCCGGCACTATTAAACTGCCCCTCCGTCACTAATCAATACATTTGGTCTGGCCCTCTATCCTTCTTTTGTCTCTGCAAATGAAGCTGATGGATGAAAAAGAGCCGCGGTGCCCTCTCTTAGGTAATGTGCTGTGAACGGCCCTGTCGATATCTTCAGGGTTAACGGGATGAAGGCTCAGACGGGGGAGGGTATTGAGGAAGAGTGATGCATTTGGAGCGGGACACAGGAGCAGGGTCAACTCTCAGGACACCTAATATTTAATCAAGTAACCTCACCGGTAACCCTAAACCCCACAAGCCCCCCCGGTCGAGGCAAGTGGGAGAGAGGGGGAGGGGTAGAAATGGAGAAAGACGATGCTGTATCTTTCAAACTGTCTTTGTGCTTTGACTGAGTGGGAATGAAGTGAGACATGGAAAGAGAGAGAGAACGGAAAGACCTGCTGGACGACGATGTCGGGATGAGTGCGCGCAGCAGGCAGAAAGATGGAGGACGGTGAATAACGGCATTAAAGTCTTCTTCATCACACAGATTGGAGCTCAGTCGTCAGGGCTGTAAAGGTTAAAGTCAAGGTAAAAGAAAGTGATGAGCACATCATGATGTTGAACGACGGCTTGATGATGAACACAGGTGGGACAGGGAGCAGAGGCGTTACGGTCAAAATCACATTCACATTCATCACTCCAGCCTGTTACCATCAAACACACAGAGGCAATCTTCTGTTTTGATTGAGACGAGTTTAAAGATTTTATACACAAAAAACACACAACTGTGAGGACTGCGTCATTTTATATATTAATAATAGCTACAATATTTATCAACTGCTGTCCTGTAACTACATTACAGGTCATTTAAATAGCAACTCAACATAAAAGAATTGTGTCATGGTAACATTACATAGCATGCTATTCATTTATATTTAATCAAATAATAAAAACATGAATTAATAATAGATTTTACAAAATAATTAATTTTGAAAACTCTTTTTTATAAAAAGCAGCAAAAAATAATTAAAAAACACATTATTCAAAAATAGCTTCTTTTAACATGAACACACAACAGAACCTTTACTTTGAATGCGTGAGCCACAAACACAAGGGGCTTCCTGTTGTTGTAAATCCCTTTGTATTGTATGAATATTGTAAAAGTGTTGGACAGACTAATCATCATATAGATTATTTATTGATAAATAGTGTTTGGGATGAAAATGTAATATTTGTTGAACATAAGGTCATTAGAATCAAATCAATTTATCCGTTTGGGTTCATTAAAGTTTTCACCAAATGTCAAGGCGACCTGCCCAATATTAGAAAATGAAACATCCTGAATTATTGAATGTGCTTGATACATTTCATACCAATTAGATTTTGACAAGTGAAAGGTTTTGACATGATGGTGGCACAAGCAGAAAGGTCACGAGGTCACCAAAATCATTAGCATTCTGACCTCAGGGGTGAATAGGCGTCAGATATTCAGATTGATCCCTCTGTCCTGGAGACCATTTCACATCATGCCCAAAAACAAATAAAGCGTCTCTGAAAAGATGCAATTTTCACACACCTGAACCAGAATAAACAGTGTATGAGACCTGTGAACATGTGCCTCCTGGTGTGAGGAGGCACATGTTCATGACTATTTTTCCTTCCCTGCTGCCTTAACCCTATAAATGCCTCTGGGACATCGACATTTTCAAACAACACATGATGAAGAAGTCAAATAAGAAGCCGTTTGTGGTCCAATATGCAACTTAGAAGAGTGTGATGTGGGAACTTGAGAAAGAACTTTCCAGTCAAGTAGGAGAGTATTTTAATTCTTTCTTACAACAAGTCTGGAGCAGATGTTTCAACCGATGTCTTGGCTTCTTATTTTCACCAACATCACTGTAAATCTCACTCTCTTTGTTTAATTTTCACATTTCACATTTCACATGACCACATGGCTGCAGCAGGCTGTATTTAAAGGGATATTATAGAAAAGAAAAATTGTTTGTTTGTTCAACAGTTTGTTGATGTGATGAATGATAAATGCACTCTTGTACCGCTTTTCTGCCTTAACAGACAAAGTACTTTACCTCTCATTCACACGTAACACACACACACACACACACACACACGCACACAAACTCACTCTTACTCCATGCAACACCAAAGCTCTGGAAGAAAGAAAAAAAGCTTTTGTGAAGTAATTTAGTCATTATATGTCTGGATGCAGCACACAGAGCCTCATCCGGTCTCACTGTGGTTACTGTTGAGAGATGATCCAGCCAGCCATGGCCACCGCTTGGCGCTCTCCTCCCCTGCAGCCGTTGCCCGCCTGTGGGCTAACGGTGGCTTTCCCACCGAGCCGGGGCCGGGCGCCACAAAGCCTTAGGGTGTAGTGAGGGTAGAGGATAAGTGAATCCCTGTTAGAGAGAGAAGGGTGGAGGAGGGAGCGATGAATGGCAGCAGGTAGGCAGGCAGATGGACTGCCAGGAGCCCCGGCGTGTCCCTGTGGAGGTGCAGGCGGCCGAGTTCAGCACACAGCCACCCAGAAACGGCGTCAGCACTTTGGGGAGAAGCTGCGAAAGTGCTGAGGCGGCAGCCACGTGGGGAGATGAGGTGAAGTGGTGAAAATTTAACCAGCCTGATGAAAGTTTAAGTGTGCATGTTAAACAGGAGAGAGGGGGGAGGGAGGTATGGCTGGAGGTGATAGAAAACTCAAACAACAACTGTCTGCTTCTCAAACTCCACCATGACTCTTACTTTCACCTGACACCTGAGGGCGCAGCTCTTCTTTGACCCCGACCTCAAAAGGACCATCATCTCCCTCTTTTTGCTTCTTGATAATTAGCTGCAAGGACGCTGCTGAGCTTCAAGGGCGACGGGCCGCATCCCTCTGCACTGCGGACCCGGCTGCTGTGCATGCCAGAGCCCCATAGCACTTCTGTTGACTGCACGTTTACATGATGCTACACGAAGCAGCCAGTCAGCTCCGTGGTCTGCGGAGAAGTGTGCAGAGAGAAGACAGAGGGAGAGGGTGCAGCGGTGTGATTACATAAGGTTGGGTAACAGGCTCACTGTGGGGATACACACTCACTAGGCAGTGTTGATGGAGTCTTTCACAGGCCTGATGGGGTGTTGATTAGGATGTGCTCACACACAAGGAGCAGATGCTGAAATGGATTCTAATGTGCTTTTTCTCTCTTTGTTTCTTTACACTCATCACTTCTTTCATCCCTGCGCTCACCGCTGCCATTTCCCCTTCTGTCTCTGTTCCCCCCCGTTGGCTGTTCTCCGTCAAACGCCAAAAATTACATCCCATTCTCCCTTCTCCCTTTTTTTCTGTCCTCCGTTGATTTCCCAGGTGCGGTGCGAGCCTCCAGCATCTTCCCCATCCTCAGCGTCATCCTGCTCTTCATGGGAGGCCTGTGTATAGCTGCCAGTGAGTTCTACAAGTCACGCCACAACATCATACTCAGCGCAGGGATCTTCTTCGTGTCTGCAGGTAAGTCGACAACATAACACACGAGGCATCGGTTCAGTGTGCAGGCACCTCTTTCTGCAAACGTGTCTTTGAATTAGACCTGTTTTTATTGAACAATGTGTCATTGTCACTAACCTCGAGGGGTGGAATGTAACTAAGTACATTTATTTAAGAGGTAGGCCTACTTGTACTTTACTTGAGTGTTTCCATCTCATGCTGCTTTATACTTCTACTCCACTACATCTCAGAGGGAAATATTGTACTTTTTATATCCACCTCATTTATCTGACAGCTTTAGTTACTTTATTTAGATTATTCATACAAAATATAATAAATTAAGATGTATTATTAGATATTTAGCTACCCGGCTGTGTATAAAGTAGAATAAGCTTCACATTTACCAGCTGCAACATTACAGTGAACACATAAATCAATAATTATAATCCAGTGATATAATATTCCAAAATGGGTCATTCTAAATGATTAGTACTTTAAAGCATTTAGGAGGATCTATTGACAGAAGGGAATATAACATTAACTATGTTTTCTTTAGTGTATAATAACCTGAAAATTAGAATCGTCGTGTTTTCGTGACCTTAGAGCCGTTTATATCTACATACACCTACGTCACTCACTCACTAATTAACGTGTTATTTATTGTTTGAACCAACGAGGTATTGGTCGGCCAGTCTTTGTGCTAAGCTAAGCTAACTGGCTGCTGGCTGTAACTTCATATTTACAGACATGACATTTCAATAAATCCTCTCATATAACTCAGGAAACGTAATCAACGTTTTTTCCAAAAACTTTTCCTTTAAGTTGTTATCACTCTTTTGTAATTATTATTATACCACCAGACAAAAACACAACATAAGCACCGGTCGTCTCTTGTACTGCAGCTACAAGTCACTTCTTCTATTCTTCTGTCTCTTGTCCTCTTTTCTTTTCTCTTGATCATGTTGCTGGGCTAACAGCCCTCCATTGGGACTCATCTCTAAAAATAAGGTGTCCCTGACACACTTTCCTTACAATCCATCGCAGATACCACGTCAAACATTTCTCCCTGTGTGACTTAACCAACTAACAAGTCAAAGTATATAAAAGTGTGGATGTATGATGGGATGTGGTTTACGTTATACACTTTCAAAAGAACTAAAGTTCTCGGTTCTCGCTGCAAGGGGAAAGTCTCCGATCAGGGATGTTTGATGGAGAGTTGGACAGGATTAGTGTACAGTGCATGAATCAGAACATGTTTGGTAAGATGTGTAACGTAAGTTAAGCGTACATGAGCTCATCCTGACTGATACTTTGTGTCTTGTTTCCCACACGAACTCATTACCCATAACCCACCCCTCTCCATCCTGACCCTTCAGGCCTGAGCAACATCATCGGGATCATCGTGTACATATCAGCCAACTCGGGGGACCCTTCAAAAAGCGAATCGAAGAAGAACAGCTACTCTTACGGCTGGTCCTTCTACTTCGGGGCCCTGTCCTTCATCATGGCTGAGATGGTGGGCGTCCTGGCCGTGCACATGTTCATCGACCGCCATCGACAGCTCCGAATAGGGGCGCGCGCAGCCGACTACCTCCAAGGTTCCGCCATAACACGAATCCCCAGCTACCGCTACCGCTACAGGCGTCGCTCGCGCTCCTCCTCCCGCTCCACGGACCCGTCACACTCCCGCGACACCTCGCCGGTGGGCCTCAAGGGCTTCAGCGCGCTACCGTCCACGGAGATCTCCATGTATACGCTGCCCCGGGACACCCTCAAGTCCTCCGGCACGCCCACAGCCACCTACAACTCGGAGAGGGACCACAACTTCCTGCAAGTCCACAACTGCATCCAGAAGGACCTGAAAGACTCGAGCCAGACCAACACAGCCAACCGCCGCACCACGCCGGTATGAGGGAGTCGACGCAGGCCAGGGCAGCCCGGCGGAGAGACCAGGAGACACGGGAACCCCTGTGGGTGCAGACAGCCCCGGGAGAAGACGGATTTCCATGTTTATAGACATTTGTTCTTTTTGTTCAGCTGCATGACGTTTCCATTGCCATTGTTGAGAGAGTTTCAACAGGTCTGCTGTGTTCCTGGATTGAATGGCAGAACAGTGAGAATGGGTCAGGGTGTCCCGAGAGAGTGAGATCTGTCATTTTTTTGCGCAGGGTCTGTTTATGAGGTTTTGGGCACTTAAAGAGAGGGGGGAGGAGAGGGGGGGGGGCATTTATGAGATAAAGATTTCATGATTTCATAGCCCTTTGGTTTGATAGTTCAGCCCCACAGGTTTGGTCAGAGCAACAGGTGAAGCTCAGATATACACCTCTTTTATTTATTGACTCCTTTGTTCATTTTTTGCATTAAAACTGTGAATTGTTACAGTTTGGGATTCAGTAAGAATTAGCCCAATCTGTAATCTCTAACAAAGGTACTATATATATATATATATATATATATATATATATAAATGTATTACTTTTATAAATACATTATTATGTTAATAATCAAGAGTTACAGACTTTACCGAAGCAAAAAAGAAAAAAAAAACAAGTTAACTAAACCAAGTGCTGTTGGTGAGATGAGAAAAGACTCTTTCAGTTCCTGCTGGTGTGAAGGTTGAGAACAAGAGACGGAGCTTTAGGTAGCAGCAGTACACAGCGGCTGATGCCACCCGAGGCAGCCAACAGTAGAATAATATCTATTCTTTTAATAGAACCTTCTCGACTTTTTCTCAGTCCCTGTTCGCTTTCTTTTTTTTTTGGGGGGGGGGGGGGGGGGGG